ATGAACACTCCGTCACTTCGTTGACAAGCTATCTGCGTTAATCTAATATCTACGTCAAATTAATCCTAACATAATTATCACCTTAATCTTTAATAAAATTCAGTTTGACCTGACGCAAATTTTAATTTGACGCACAACATATATAAATATATATTTGTTCAACTGGATATTTTTTTATCAAAATATTTATACTAAATGTTAGCCAGAAGGATTCTTATAAATGGGTTACTGAATTTACTTTAAAAGTTACAACTACCAAAATTTCAAGTAAAAACATTTCAGATTCGAAACATACTAGTTAATTATTGAATTCATAATTGTTATATCAATTTATTTAACAATATTTCTGTATTTATTAATCAATAAATGGGCACCTAAATTTATTTCAGTTAATTATTATTTAGTTTATTCCTTTAGTTAATATACATTAGTTATTTCACGTTAGAAATCTTACTTGATATTATGCTTCTTTTACATTTACCAATTTTTTAATGCCACACAAACCAAATTACGCACTTTACCATGCAAACAAAGCATTGCCTAAAAAATAGTTGTATTTTAAGACAATTCCAACAGGTTGAATTTTTTTGTGAAAATTTTATACATAATATTCATAATCATATTAATATTTTTTTTTCTCAAGAAACACTAAAAATCACTATTCGAATAGAAATGTACAGCACTATAATAAAAATGTCTGCAGTAAAATTTCCTTTAGGAAGTATTGTGTTTGTGTTTCGATTTTGACTGATTTTTTTTAGAATTGATTCTTTTATTCTAACTGAAAAAAATCAAATTCTATTGAAATGCTTTCACCAATACATCATCTAATTTTACAGTTAACTATAAATTAAGAGTCAATGCATTGTTCCTGCCAAATATCTTGGATAATACCTTTTTTTTCTCTGATTTAATATTATTATTCCAGAGATTCAAATAAATCAGTGTGGTATTTTCGCAGAGTGCCTCAGCCAACGCTTTTCCTCCTTCTTCACCAAGTTCATTACAACCAAGATTCAAAGTAGTCAAGGTAGTGTTTTTGAAAAGTGCTTTCGCTAATGACTTTCCTCCTTCTGTTCCAAGTTTATTCCAACTAAGATTTAGTGAAGTCAAGGTGGTATTCTTGCAAAGTGCATCTGCTAAATTTATTCCACCTCTTGATCCAAGCTCATTACAACTAAGATTTAAAGTAATCAAAGTAGTATTCTTGCAAAGAGCATTCGCTAATGCTCTTCCTTCCTCTGATTCAAGTTCATTCCAACTAAGATCCAAAGAAGTCAGTGTGGTATTTTTACAAAGTGCATCTGCCAATGCTTTCCCTCCTTCTGACTCAATATTAGTTTGATAAAGTCTTAAAGAAATTAAGCTAGTATTTTTACAAAGTACATTTGCCAATGCAATTCCTCCCAATGAACCAAGATTACACTCACTAAGATCTAAAGAAGTCAGAGTGGTGTGTTTGCAAATTGTATCTGCTAATGCTTTTCCTTCCTCTAATCCAAGATTTTTATCTTTTATGCTCTGCTGATTGCTATTAAGAATTTTTTCGTAATGTCGTAATGCTTTAGTATATTTACTTTGCTTAAAGCATTCAGGTACTTCTTTACTCTTATTCATTAGTATAATATTATCTTGCGTTAAATGATTTAAATTTAATGAATGATCAAAATTTGTTGTATCAAGCAAAGATATCGTTGTTTCACTATGAGAGTCTACCAAGTCAATAATATCAGGTAAATAAAGCGGAGATGATGTAGTAATTTCAAGAGAATTTGTATTTTCATCAATATCATGATCTATATCTTGGCCCATGTCTTGATTTAAAGATGAAATTTCATGATTGTTATTTAGTAATTCGTTATTAATATGATTATTCAAAGCTTCTTTAGGAATAAGCTGATTTAAAACTTTAGCGGGAATAAATTTATTTAAAGTTTTATACAATCTATTTGAACTATTAACAGAATCATTATTTTCAATTAATGGTTCGTTAATGATGGGTTTATTTAACATATAATCAGCAGTAATTTGATTTAATATATTAATAATTGATTTTGTTTCTGGACGATTGGTAGGCTCTCCATCCCAACATTGTTTGTAAAGTTCAACATATTGAGATGGTGTGCCTTCTATAGGTTCTTCTCTGTTTCCATTAATTATGTGAAAACAGATATCCATTTTTCCTTCAAAGGTTTCAAATGGAGACTTTCCACTTGAAATTTCCCAAAGGATTATTCCAAAGCTATATATATCTGATCTCTTATCACGTTTATATCCAGTTTTAATAAAACACTGGGGTTCTATATAGGCTGGCATTCCGCAAACGGTTGCGCTTGTTGTGCTTGAAACCATCGATATCTCATTTAATTGTTTCGATAATCCAAAATCAGCAATTTTTGGTTGATTTTGATGAATTAAAATATTCTTTGAATGCTAAATTATTAGAGTATTTTATTAGTAAATTTAAATTTTATAAAATGTAATTAAATATAAATTCTAATTTACAATCACTTACAAGATCTCTATGAATAATCTTATTATCATGTAAAACTGAAAGTCCGAGTCCTATTTCTTTAGCGATACGCAATTTATCTGTCCATTGTAATTTTGTAAAATTTGCTTTCAAGTATTCTCATAAATTTCCATCATCAGCATATTGTAAAACCATATTATAATGACCATTTTCATCTATTAATTCATAATAAATATATGTAATATAATTCTTTAATAATTGATTTACCCTTTCAGGATTGTTATACACTTTCAGAATTGTTGGATTCATACCTTTTGTAACTCCGTAGAAAGTGATAATATTTGGGTGGTAATAAACTTTTCGTAAAAGGTTAAGCTTTATTACAAAAATTTAAGAATATAAGGTATTATATTAAATGTTGGTAGTAAAATGTTGGTAGTAAAATGTAGTTCAAAGCTTAAATATAATAATTAATACCTCATTAATAAAATCTTTAATACTTTTTTTATCTAAACTTGCATCAACACTAAGACGTTTAGTAGCGACTATTAATTCACAATCTTTCCATTCATATTTAAAAACCGTTCCAAAAGCTCCAGTACCAATTTTTTCACGATTTGTAAATTTATTATATTCTAGATAATTAATATGCCCATCAAGAATAGCTCTTTCGAGCCATTCTTCTGAAGTATTTGACATGACTTTACTAATGAACTTATAATTTGTCAAGAATATGTATTTTATAAGTAGTACAAAAGTTTTAATTTAAATTTGGTGGTCAAAAGCAAAATAATGAGATTTACTTAAAATAGTAAACTCTCATTTTAATTGGTTAATTTTTATCATTTCATGAAATCTAGTTGGCTAATACTATTACACGAGAAAATGGGTCTAAATTAAAGATAAAGTAAAAAATATAAACAATAAACATATATGTACATTTGTAATTTTTTTTGTTTATAATAATTTTTTAAAAAATCCGATAGTAATATTGCAATATTAGATATGTACCTAATAAATTTAATAATAATTACGTTCCTACTAAATCCAGTCACACATCCCTATAATCACGCAATCAGGACCATTAGAAGCTTTATAAAAAAGTGCCCTTATATAGAGAATGTGATTATATAGTTAATTATTTTAGATATTTAATAGCAGTAATTAAATGGGAGTGCAATGTATATAGTTGAATAATCAACAATATTAAATAAATTAAAAAATATAATTGGCTCGACATGAGTATTGATTGGAAATAGGAATGCTTATAAATAACAAGGAGAACATATACTAGGTGTTTCAAAAGTTCCACTACACGGTCCCTTTTTTTAAGTAACTTATATATAAAGAGAACGATGGTTATCATTGTGATCTATATATATAACTGTATAAAAGTCACTTAAAAAAAAAGGAACGTGTAGTGGAACTTTTGAAACACCCGGTATATGTTGTAAGTGGATTCGGAATTTTTATATAATACCATCATTTTGGGGTTGAATTTATCATATATCACTTTAACCTTAACCCCAATTTAACTAGGAAATTCCAAATCCATTTAAATTCCATTCCCACGTAATTTGAATAAATTGAACAAACAAATAAATAAGAATGAAAAAAGTGCATTCATTGAATATATGTTCTGTTCATTAACAATTTATTTTCATGACCAACAATTCGTTCAAGCCAGATGTTGTGTATGTAATCATATATTTAAGTTTGATATTGTGTAAGTAACGTTTTAATAAGTATTGTGTAAGTGAGTAACTAGATGAATCCATATTAAGAAATGGTATAACAACTATATATCCGATGCGTCAAGTTCATTCTTCAAGAATTTTAGACTCAAAAATTAGTAACACGATACAGATTAATTTGTCTATTTACCTGATATTTAACATTTTCATTTTTTTATAGGATTTTTTATAGAGTTGATTAAATGATAATCAATGATCGTCAAAGGCAATAGCGAATAATTTTTCGGATAACCTGATAATTTATTATATGATGCCTTGTAAACTTTTGTTTGATTAGCTAATGCGAGTCAATTGCCTATAGTGTATATCAAATGCTTCACAACATATTAATGAGATGCTAAATCAGTTCTCGTTTATATGTTACTTGGACTATTTGTTAACTACCATATTTGCTTTCTCTAGCGCGACCACGTCGCGCAGCTACATTATTAAATATTATAGATACTATAATTTATTTTAAAAAATTACCAAGTACAATGCAATTAGTGGTTAACCAAATCTGTCCAAAAAATTTATTATATAAATCAAATAAATATTTAAATTTTATAAATTTTCAAAAATTAATCCTTCACTATTAGGAATAATAAAAGATCCTGCAATAATAGGTTTAACAATATTTTTATCTTCGGTCATAATTTTATATTTTTTAATTAATAAGTACAATGCAATCTTAATAGTATGCAATGCAAAGAACCTGCCAGGACCTAGAATCCAATGTATAAAGATATTAACAATTAATAATTTTCTTAGTATTAAATATATAAATTTATATACTAACATGCATGCCTTCCCAGACCAAATGCCAAATATTCTCTTCCTGTCTTTGTAGCTCGAGAGTTTTTTTCAATGTGTTGAAAACCATTAAATGTATTTGAATCTGAATGATTGCCGTGAATCTCTACAAAGTCCATTAAAACATTTCTGCCTATATGATTATAAATTATAAAACTTTAATATATAGAGGTTATACTGTAATTATTAAATTCAAATAAAATTGCGTGATTTATATTACCTTTTGGGATTTGATAACCATTCGAGAAAGTAAAAGAGTCATTGAAGGCTTTATGTTCTAATCCAACTATAGTATAATGGTATAAAGATATAATGTTAAAATAAATTTCTTAAATTGTTATAATATAAATCTTATATAATAAAAGAAATCATTAACAATAATATGATAACATGTAAAGAAATTTACCAATTGGTTGCCAAACTCTTAAAGTCTCCCTTATAAAGCTATCTAATTTAACCATTTTATTAACGTCTTGATCGGTCAAGCATCCATCTTTAATTTCACATGATATTTTTTTATTTTCTTCAAGTAATTCATTCCAATATTCAGGACGGGCGCCATACTCTATGTCAAAAACAATCTTATAGCTAAAAATGTATTTTATAATTTATGAATCTATTAAAGAACAACTTACCATAAAGAACACTCGAAATAGTTTGTGAAGTTGTATGTATAGCAGCAAATATAATATCAATAATGTAATCAGTTACTTCTTCTACATCAACTAATCCATCTTTATCTGACAGGTTAATAAATATTTGTAAAATATTCGTCTATTAAATATTTATAAATTACAATAGATTTAGAACGTGCTGTAAATATATATATATATATATTAAGGTATGGTAAATTAATTTTACGTACCGGAGGTTCATAAGTGTTACCAAATTCTTTTTTATTCTCACGTTGTTTGATAATTTGCATAATTCTGTCAGTTATCACTTGCCTGTGTTTTTTATAAAGATGACCAGTATATTTTAGGCGAAACCTAAGTAAATCAAAATATAGACTTAATTTAGTTAATAATATATAATAAGAATAAATATAATAATGAAATTCATACGCAAAAAAATTTGCATGAAGGGAAGGATGAATAAAATTTAGGAACGGAGGTAATGAAAGTGCTGGAATAATATCCCTTGTTAGATTAGCAAATGTATTGATGAGTTCTTCATCATTTGATAAATCCTGTGCGTATGATATCAGATCATATTGGTTATAGTTTAATTAAAATAACATAACTAAATAATATAGTTAACAATTTAATGTTCTTACTTCACCAACGATAATACTGGCTGCAGGTATTGCAACTATTTGCAGAAGCATTAGTTGTGGAGATTTAATACATCTTTGATCTAAAAAAAAGAAATTAGGTAGGTAAAAATCCACGAGTTTAACGTAACAAGGGCTTTCTTACCTTTGCATTCACCAATATACCTGCTTATTGATTTTTCTAATGCATCCTGAATTTTATTTGTGTATTGCCCCAGATCATTAGACAATTCATTACGAACAACCTTTTTAACGTTTTCAAAGAAAGCATCTGGACGTCCGAATAACAAATTAAGCGGGATTGTCTAAAAAGTTATAAGTTAATGAATTAAAGATTACATCAAAAAAAAAGACGTAAAATAATTAAAACGTTGAAACTATCAATATAACGGACACTTTTATATCGGATTCTCTGCTTTAACGAACCAAATTTTAAGTACCGAATTTTAAGTACCGAATTTTTAATAGGAAATTTAATAAGTTAAAACGGATTTCATAGTAAAAGCCCGTATTACGTATAAAAGAGAATCTTTACCAGCCCATATAACAATTTTATTATAAAATCCTAACCTATATAACGAATTAAATATAATGCGCAACTTGCGCCAGTCAGAATATAAAAATAGAAATTTCCACAATTTTTTTTAACGGAATCCGGCCTAACTCTGTTATTAAACCCGTTAAATAGGTTATATTGATATAACAAATATGCTATATAACGAATTTTTGGGCCAGCCCAGATTTCCATTATATTGATAGTTGACAGTGGAATAATGATGATATTAACATCGAAGGAAGCTTTTAAGAAATTAAAACTTTGATGATTGCTAATAACTTCAAGACTTGTTTCTTTGCCGACTACAGTTATTATTTTTCCAAAGACGTAAAGGGAAAATATTTCTCCATACTGATAAGGATTTGAAATAAGAAATTATTTACATGATTTAAATTAAGCAGAATATAGAATGTAGCAGAAGTATATATATATGTATATATATATATTATTTTATTTATTTTTTATACCTGTTCACGACACCTTTTAATCAAATTTTCAGTATTTGTAAAATAATCGATAGTATGACCAATAAATGGAAAAGCATAAGGTACAAGTGGCGGCTCATACTTAATGTAAAGATATTGACAATGAATAAGAAATTTTATTTATGGATGCATTAAAGGCAACTGCTGCGTACCAACTTCTGAGGCCTTTTCAAAATATACAGGCACGAAAGAAAAATCAAGCTAAACAGGGTCAGCATGATTGATTGATTATGATAGCATAAACCAATAAAATCCATTTCGAAATGCTAATGCGAAATTAATCACTGTAATTGTGTAGACCCTTAATTATTGTAATAATATGACTCTGTGAAAAAAATTGTATAAATAGGAAACCCAGAATTTTTATTTTTTATATTTTTTAAAGTTTGTAATTTCGGGAACTTACCGAGACGATCGATTCAATCTATATCACGTTGTGTGATAATTTAGCATTTTGGGGTTTCGGAACGGATTTACTTATTTGTGCCGGTAATACAATCCAAAAAAGGAAATTTGATTTTATAAATAAACTAAGTGCGTAAAACACGTATTTAGGGTTGGAACGTTAACATTAGAGGCTATAGTGATAGACTATCGTTCCTTATATGTAAAATTTCGTTTCCGACATTTTTAATTAGTACACCAAGGCTGGTTTAAACACTAGTTTTTGAGTTTTTCGCTTTTTCTTCTTTTACACGCATTCGGAATTCATGTCGGGCTGATCCGGAACGATCAAAATTTGAATTCAC